GGTCAGTGATACTGTGTCTCTCAATCCAATCAACATGGAGATCTGAGCACTGCCTTGAGATGACTTGCTGTGATCACCTAAATTAGATGGTGCACATTAGTCTCTTGATTAGTATGCTGAAACAAGGTAATGATAGCCTTGGGGCAAGTCTTTAATCCACAATACCTGCACATCCCATTATTGTCAGGAACATGTCATGCATACTCTTCCAGGTTGAGTAGAAAGAATAACTATCCTTTACTACTGATGTAGTGAAGACGGATGAACAACGGAAGTCCTCTCTCAAAGGTCTAGTTTCAATGGCAGGACTTCACAAAGTCAGGGACTTTCCTGCTTGCCCAGACATGATGTGCTTGTGTTGGTTTAATACAGGAGAGAGAAAAGCAAGGAGCAACATAGAGGGGGACCCTTTTGAGGTCAGACCTTGTCAGGATCAGCTGACTTGAGAATGTGTGTCCAGAAACTACTTGTTTGTGTTTGTTTCTACTGTATTCAAGGAAAGGAAAAAGGGTCTGTTTATCTTTCTGTAAATAAACAAGATCACAGGGAGAAATACACTACATTTATACTATCAGTGTCTTTCAAACAGAAAGGCTGTAACAAGTGTTACAATCCTGTCTCTTGAACCTTTAAATGCTGTCTCTCACATGGAAGAAGAGCTGGGATAAGAATATCTTCATATTCTGTGAACTGAAGTTTGGTTTCTTTGCTTCAGGCCATTAAAATCTTACTGCAGATACTTACAATTTAGTTTGAGCCACAGAAGCTGTAACTGGTACATGGTGCTTCCAGTGCAGTTTGTTTACAAGATGAAGGTCTTAGTCGCAACCAGCACAGGAACACATATCACCAACATCTGGAAGCCTTGCTTAAGGAAATCCAGACTGACAACCTCTTTTCCTACTGCAAATCTCTGCCTGGTCCCATTTCCTGTCGGACTGCTGCTCTTTTTCCCCCAGCACACCTGCAGGTAAAAAGGCATCCTGAGCAACACGCCCTTCCCCAGGTGAGGAGCAAGTGAGGTGAACGTGCCAGCTGTCTGCACTAAAGGAGCTGCTATTGGTCCTTCTTGGATGGAAGGATGGTTGGTTGGTTGGCAGGTGCATGTTTGGCTTGGGAAGGGAGACAAGCCACAGAACAAACAGGAGCAATAAGAAGCATCTTCAGAGCTCTGGCAAGGATTTATGGAGATTTATGTCTGAGAGGAGAGAGAAGATGGATTAAAAAATATTCCCCACGTCAGGCAGAGAGGCGACACTGGTAGGATCAGAAAACATGATGGCATTTTTTACCACTGCAGCACCCAGTAAGTCCCTACTCAGATAGTAGTAACAAAGACCCTGTATCTTGAATGCACACAGAAGTGTTAGTTGCCTGGTTTCACTGGAGCTTAACGCTACTAAAATGCCTGTACGAGTCCAAGCAAAAATGGACAAAATCTGTTATTTGCTGATGAAATGCTGCTTTTGGTCTGTCTCTCTTGCACAGAAAAATGAGCAGGCTCAGACAGCTTCAGTTTTCCATGTATATCAGGCACTGGTCTTTAACAGGACAAGAAGAACAGGACTGAACCAGAGGGACCAGAAACAAGGAACATGCAAGACATCCAGGTCCTGCCATGCCGGCTCACAGAGAACTTGCTGAGCTCTGTAGCCCTGCTACTACACAGGTTCTGCCTTCAGAGGTTACTGCTCCAAACCTACCTGCAACATGAGTCAACGGGCTTGAGCTTAGATTTGTTTCTTTTCATACCTGAAGACACACAACAACACATTATGGTCACCTCACATCCAGATGGCTTCCCTTGCTACACTGCCATCTCTCTCCCAGATGCAAAGCCTGAAACCCCCAAGGGCAGAGTTTCCTTAATTAATCATCAGGCAAAGTTTTCTTTCTTAGTCTCTTTTTCTATTTCTGAGTTGTGACATTTCCTGCCAACTTTCTGCTTGCTGTGGATTTCTACAACAGAGCAACATAACTTCTGAAAATAGACACTTAGACTGGAAAGCCTGACACGCCCTATATGGAGCCTATGAGCAGCAGAACCATAATCAAAAGCCAGTCAAGGCACTAGGCTGTGCTGGCAGCATTCAATTAAGGCTCTGAGCAAAGCAGCCCTAACAGAAGAAAGTAAATGGGAAGTCTATAACACTATTGCACAGAACCCCCCAGGATCTTTTCATCACTGAGGGACATTTGAGTCTGTACACTTTGTGGTAATCCTCGCTCAGGCAGGTTACTCCAATACAGCTGGCACATTCAGAAACCCTTTAAAAATAAAAAAAATCATGGGAATGGCCATGATTTCCTGATATGAAACTGCATGCATAGCCTATGGAAAAAAAAAAAAAAGCCAGTAGTTGCATGATACAAGTCTGAGCTCTGCCTATCATTAATGAAGGTGAGTTTTTCAGGGTAAAATTCTCCTGGGCCAGATAACAGGAGACTGATAAATAAAGCTAGTCAACTGCCCTTTCTGACTCACTCTCTCCTGCTGGAAGGATGACTCACTGTCATATGTGAAGGGCTGCCAGGTCTTGCTTACATGCTTAAACAAGCATAGGTTGCCTGTGTTACACATGCATTACCCCAGAAGAAGCAGACGCTTAGCGCTGAGAAGGCAGCCCTGGAAAAGGACTCTGCTGACTAAAGGATCTGGAACTTCAAGGTATTTCTCAATCCTTTCTGGAAAGTTCAAGGTTGTTGTTAGATTACCATAGGAAATTTAGACCCAAATCCACGGCTGAGGGCTTGGCTGAGGATCACAGTGTTTTAAAGCAGGGCTCACTCGGGCCATCAGCACTTACGCAGGTAACTCCTGTGGAGTGAGGCAGACAGAACGTTCTAGGTGCAGAGAGAAGTAACTGAGACTGTGCCTGGTCTGGAGCTGCCTTTTGTCCAAGGAAAACAGCATGCCAAAAGCTGTTACTTGTTGCTCACTATTTCATGGCGAGAAAGTAGCCCCATGGGGGTGCTCCCCTTAAGGAGACTGTGAGGAACCTGCCTTGAGTCTGGAGAGGGGCAAAGAGCATGTTGAGCATCACCTCTCAGCCTGAGACTGCTCAACAGCTTTTGAGCAATGCCAGTAGCTGCTCGGTGCTTCCTCCTCTCTGCAGTGACACAGACCTTGCAGGTGACAGTGCACAAAACGCATGTTCGCATCCAGGACCTTGCTGCCTACGTGAGCACGTGCTCCACCCTTTGGTCTTCTCAGACCCACCGCAGGCCAAGTGTGCAACTCTCTGAAATCTCTGCCCCAGGCACTGCAGGGACTGTTCACAAATCCCAAATATTAGCACATGGCTCTGCAGGTCTCACATGGCAAAGGGCACCTTTCCCTCACGCTCTTTCCAAGCGCCCAGGCAAGGACTGTTTGCTTGCCATAACAAAGCAAGGCACTTTTTCAAGGGTTAGTATACTGGGATGCCAATCCACAGATCAGAGTGTCACAGCTTTTAGGGTACAGAGGACCCCTAATGCAGGAACTGAAAGGTTTCTCCCAAGACCAAGAGAGAGAAGGTGTGCTGTAGCCTCCCTCAGCTCCAGGTATTATTCAACACCTTGCTGCATCATTTGGTAGAGGAACCGTCCTGCTGCAAGGTGATGATACCACAGCTGACTCTTGCATGTTTGGCCAGGCATGGACTATTCAGGAGTCACCCATAAAGCTGCGAAAGACACTTACACAAGCTTTGGCCCAGTCAGGCTCTCAGAAAATCTGCAGCTGAAGCATCATCTCAAGGTCTCGTCATCGTTTTTTCAGACCACATGAGCATGAACCTACCTGCCCAAAATGAACATATAGCCTGGAAATATTAATTTGGAATTAAGAGTGTACCATTCCACATCATGTATTTCAGGAAGATGTAGCAGTCTCATACACAGTTCTAAATATATCTTTTAGATTTCTTCTCTTTCGGAAGACAAAATATGTTTTCCGTCTCACAAAATTTCTAAGAGTTTATTTTTAAATATTTTTGCTCTGTACCAGAACAGATGACTAATGAAAAGCCTGAGAGATAAACAAACAGGCCACAGCTGCAGCCTCATCTAATGGTAAAAGGACTCACCTGACACATGGAAAACAAGCCTGGACTACAATGCTACTTGAGCCTTAATATAACATGTGCCAATTTAAGTGAAGAGACTAAATGACAGCTGTGAATCTGCAGTTAAAGCATCTGTCTCAGTAAGGCAGTGCAGGGCCATGCCACATAAGTGACCTAGTCCCTGGGCTAGTGGTTACTTCAGAAGAACTAGTTTCTCATCATAATCGTGCTGCAAATTTGATCCTTTTAAAAACTGGACTACGCATTGCAAGGGAAAACTGTATTCTTTTTATCCAGCATAGATATATTTTGCTGAAAAATTTCCAAACCAATAATAACTTGTCAAATTTCTCCTCTTAACAACGATGAAAATATTACCTGTCTGATTTTCTTCCCCTGTTAAATCATCCATTATTTTTTCATTGATTCCTATTGACTATGACAAATCATAGGACTTCATCCAAAATTCTCCTGCTGGTGCTAATGATTAGGAGGTATGGATAGTCTTATAGGTAAAATGACACCATTTCTTACCATGAATTAGTTTTGTGTCAAGATACTGACATCCCAACTGCGTGTTTGAAGTTTGAACATCCAAGATCTGTTTTCCCAATCACCTAAAATCTATGATAAAATATATACACATATCATTAAGAAGATAAAAGGAAACCTAGTAGGTATTTTAAATAATAGCTTTTCTGTTTGCTATCACAATGAGTCATAAATCAGACTTTCTATATCCAAGAACAAAGTAAGAGATGATGGAAATAAAAAAAAAAAGAAGTAAACACAATATATTAAGATTACAGAGTTAGGCTTTGTTGGCTGCAGTTTCAAAGTGATTTACTTAGCCATTGAAATGTTGCCACTCAACACAGGCACCACTTCTGCTAGTTGCTCTGATTACAGTCACCTTCTTCCATGGCTCTGGAGAGGACAGTGCTCTGACCACTAAGCCTGTTTTTGGGGCTTCTCAGAGGTGGAGAAGCCACCTTGGAGCAGCTTTGTCAGGATGGAGACTTGTTCTTTCTCATCATTTGTCAGCATGGAGACTTGTTCTTCCTCTTCTTCCTCCTTCTCCCTTGCCCCATCAGGCATGCTCATAAGAGATTTTAACTCCCTACAAGGAGCTCCAAGGATGCCCACCCTGTTAGAAAACATCGTGTTAATCTGCTTGACACAATGAAGCAGAGGGAAACAGGAAAAAGGGGGACAGTTTTGTAACATTTTCTAGGTAAATCAGCAAGGAATCTTGCCTCCTTCATCACAGAGTATCTGCTGTCCTCCAGGGAAAACCGAATAACCACGCTTCTCCCCTCAGCACCCTGCACACCACATCATGCTTCTGTCTGGAGCGTGCATGCACACAACATGAATTGCACATATCTGAGTGAAGCTCAGCGCTGCCTGGAAATTTGGGCCCCTTTGCATACAAATTACGCGACTCGGTGCATAAGCTATAAAGCCAACATGCTCAGGACATATAAAACAATTACATGTGTATTTGTAGCAAATTTCACGCTCTCAAGCAATACCAGACTTGCTGGTCTTGTGTCGTAGATACATTCAAAGATTTTGTATGTACAGTGCTGTCACATTCATTGGATTGCCAGAACTCTGAAGATCCAGACAAAGAAAGGCAATTCTCAAATTCTAATTTCCAAGCAGAAGAAGAAGACTTACGAGGGAAAGTCTTACAGGCAGCCTCATATACACCTCAACAGAGCAAAACTGATTTACAGTGGAAGTGTTTAAATGAAACTATATTTAAAAGCACTGTGGTGATAATGCTATTAACAATGGATGGATGGGAAATGGAATTCCTCTCATATGGCATACCCAGGCTTGAGAGATGTTGGTGTTATCACAAATCAGAAGAAAAGGTTCTGTATCTATTACAATCAAAAATACCTTTAAAAAGTATAATGTAGTAACAAAATTACTTTTTTAAAATAAAGTACTCATAAAGTACATCAGTAATATCTGATCACAACACTACTGAAAACTAAAAGTCAAAAAGAAATAAGGAATTGGAATGAATCATGAGAGGGGAAAAAACCAGCCCACTTTGATTTTGAGAGGTTTTGATTAATTTCCATTCAAATTTACATCAAAGCACACTTCCTTTCCCTAGAAACCTCCTGAGTTTTAACCAAGCTATACGATGGACCGTAGCTGCTTTGCCATCAGGTAACCGGTACTACCTCTGCAAGCTCCGGGCTCTCTCAGGTCTCTCAGGACCTCCAGGGGCCTCTCTCCTGGTGAGGAAGAGCTAGCTGTCCAAAACTCTCTCAGAGCACTATCAAACCTGTTTTCGCAGAGAAATAGTCCCTTACTTGGTAGTCAACAATTCCGAGAAGTCCGGCAGGATGTCACACATGCAAGGTTGAGAGTCTCTGCCCCGACAGTAGTGGTTCTGGAAGATGTATTGCGGTCTCTCCTTCGGTAAGGGCAGCAGCGTGCTGAGCATTGGCGAGCGCTGGTGAACCATGCTGTGTAGGCAAGGATGCTTGGTATGGACTTTTCTGGGAGGAAAACAAATGCAGGTGTTGTCTCGGTGTTTTCAGACAGGTTAGGTTACCTAAGAACTCACCAGTGTGTGAAATGTGTACCTCAGATGTGGCAATTGCACTGCATTTGCAGCAGCACTCCGTTCTCCTGGTTTCTGGAAGTCAACATTGCTCCTGTCTCTTAAGGCAGGATTGAACACATCAGAGAAAAGCAGCCTGCCGATTTCTTCCCGAATCACTTGGAAATGCTTCCGTCTGAACACAAGCCAAGCCACATGACTGCAGAAGTTGTAGAAGCCCTGGATTGAAAACACATATGTCCTTTTCCACTGGGAAAAGGCGCAGAGCCCCAGTGCATCGCAGAGCACAGGCTGGCATGACTCCACTAAAATGCCAGCCACCGTTTGTCACCAAACTTTGCCATGTATGCATCAGGGAAGATTTGAAAACATTGATTTTTTTTTTTTTAAAACAGAGTTAGCTCAGATGGATTTCATCTTGCTTAACTCTGAGCAATTCATAGAATCATAGAAAAATTCAGGTTGGAAAAGACCCTTGGGATCATCGAGTCCAACCATTGACCCTACACTACAAGGTCACCCCTAAACCACATCACCCAACACCACATCTAAGCAACACTTGAACACATCCAGGGATGGCGACTCAACCACCTCCCTAGGCAGTCTGTTCCAGTGTCTGACCACTCTTTCTGTGAAGAATTTCTTCCTAATGTCCAGCCTAAACTTGCCCTGTTGCAACTTGCTTAGTCTTGCTGCTAGAAACTAAGGACATAACCCGAGATCACCACTCAGTTTTCCTCAATAATCAGTGGAAAGAGACTGATGGGATGAGTCATTCTGCGGGGGTTCCTATTGCCCACATCTATCTCAGGAGGCAATAATCCACCCTCTGGCTGAGCTTTCTTCTGCAATGGCTGTCAAGGCAGCTGAAGGACATGGTCTGACAGGACAGTTCTTGTCTGGGCAGTGCAGGTAGACAAGATAATCCCCACTCTGAATGATGGCTTAATGACCACAGAAAATATTACTACCAAATATGAACTCATCGCATTTCACCTCTGCACATTTGCTTGCTGATTAAAATAAACAAAATGTAGTTTTTCACCCCTATTTAACATTTGTGAGCTCTAGCATAAGCTGAATCATCTCCAAATAAGTTGAATCTCTAAGTCTGTTCTTGGTAAAATGGCATCACTGGGACTCCTGTGTATTCTTGGAACTGAACCCACAGCTACCCTCTTTCAAGGAAAGGCTTCCCAGATCATGAAGTACAAAATAAAATTTGGTCCCAGCTGTTTTGTATTAATTTGCTGGAGCTCTGTTACATAGTGAGTCTCATAAATGGCTGGTGGAGCTGTACATTGCAGGCCAGAAGAGCTTATTGGCACCCAGAAATGTCACCAAGGGCAACAGAAATAAAAGAAGGCTGTAAAATTTCTTACCTACAGATATGAAACTACAAGACCCATGATGAGAAGAAATCTACAGGCCAGACTTCCCAGAGGGACCTCGGCCTGTGATGGGAACTACCTGGGGTCCAAAAGCCACAGAGGGACTGAAACTGCCCGCCTGAGGGCTTCAAGGGGAAAGGGTTGGAGCTGAAGGGAAGAGATAGTATTTTACAGGGACATCTAGGCCCTAGAGGTAAAACTTTATCCTAGGTACTCTACCTTACAAGTTAACTTCTGAGGGAACCAAAAAGGAAAGGTGCATTTGGATGTTCAAGGGAGGAACATGGTCTGGGCTGACACTCAGTCACACTCCCTGATTATCTTTGGGTCTTTCTTACCTCAGAGAAGCTCCAGTCTTTCTGCAATGATGATTCTCTCCTAAAGCAGTGAAAAAGAACACACAATTAATAGCAGCAGTCGTCCTTTCAGTCCTCTGAACAGAGCATGGAATATGAGTCATGGGGCTATGCCAAGCTGGCATTTCACCAGGGCAATAAAGTTGTTGCTGGTAGATCCTCATTACCAGCATGTGGAGACCCACTGTCCAAGAGAAAGGCAGGACTTCTGCATTGCCTCAGAAGGAGAAAATGCAAAATATTGTATGGCTCAGTTAATTAAATCCGACAGAGAACAAAGCTGGATGTGAGGAGCAGGCGAGGCTCCCCTGCTATGCTATCTAGACTGATTGCTCTGCATGGGCCTCTCAAAAGTGGTCAGTGCTGATCTAACCCAGTTCCCACTCTAGTCAATGAAAAAACCTCTTCCCGACATCACTGGAAGAGCAACAAGCAGAGCTGCCGATGGCACAAAGCCAGGCCAATGCTGAGACAATAAACTGGAAAACCAGGAAGGAGATGCCTGATGTTTCTCCAAGAAGAAATAGAAAACATGCCCAAGAATGACAAAGGGCCTTTGTTAAAGAAGCAGCAATTTGCCCAGTGGAAGCCCGAGAGATGCTTTCGGCACTGACTTGAGCCCAGGGACTCTCACACAAAGCCAAATGACTGTCCATCATGGAAAAGGCCATTAAAGCAGAGGGTGACGCACACATCTCAGCAGCCACTCAGTTCTCCTGGAGAGGGCACAACTCACCCTCATGGAAATGAAAGCAGGTATTCTCTTGTAGCCTACAGATCCCCACGGTTCTGGCTTGCTCCTGCCAGATGCACAGGAAAGCCTGTCTCCACATCAACTTACTGACTCCTGACATGTCCCTTACCTTCCTGACAACACCAGGTGCTCCATGCATCTAGGGCATGCCTAGCTGCCATCACTGCAGAGCAGATCATGAAGATAAAACCTTTCAGGCCTATAGCTCTATATACCATCTTCTGACTTTAATTTATTGATTTTTTTGATCAAGAAGGCCATGTATCTCCCTACCTGTCTCCCACCAGCCACAATCCTGCTGACTTTCATATACTGGGCAAGGGAAAACAAGCTTGACTCTGCAAGCGTGGCTTGGCCATTTGCCAAAGCAGAACTCCTAGAACAACTCTGATGCTTCTGATTCCTTATGAATTCTGGAAAAGCACAGTATTTTATCTTCAGAGTATCAAAGTGGAGAAACCTAAAGTTCATACAGTGTCTTAGAACTGGTCCCCAGTTTAGCAAAGAAACCTATGTAGAGGCCAGAACAGAAGATAACACTAACGACTACAGTCAAGTAAGTCCAGGGTTCTCCACCTTCCTTTCTCTCAGTGCTTTCTTCCTTCAAGAGAGGTATTAAACTAAGAAAATCTCCTAAGATAAGTGTTGAAGTAGGAGGCACCTCCCATGTCTAGGGCACAGTTGCTAATTACCTAAGAAAACACAGAAAGGGTCAGGAAAACATCAAACTTGCAACAAGCTTCAGGCCAGGACTTGTAAGAAACATGAAAGAGCAAGCAAAAAGCACCGTGCCTTCTACTAACGTGGCAATATTGATTTCTCCGAGCTGTGAGGGATGAGTTCATGCGTGAACGCGGACAGCACAGCCAAGGGCAGACACCGCAGTAAGCGTGGGCTTTGGACACAAGATGATAGTGGCTTCAAGAACTCCTCCTGTGCACAGGGGCACATGGGGAGGAAATGCCTCCTGTGCCATTTAGCAACTCCGTCCACCACGACTGCGACGCTGATTGCCCGCGGATCAGGCCAGCTTCAAGGATCAGCAGAGGCTGGCTTCACTGTGTTTGCGCCATTGATGCGTTCAGCTTTGGGAACGCTCTGTATTTTTCCCATTATGACAAATGCCCATAAGGAACCTGGCACCACAGAAAGGTTGCACAATCCTCATCAACTTAAAAGGAGAAAGCCAGACACACCTATTCCTTCCTTGGCGTTGGAGGCACAAGAGGGCTAATGCTAACATACACAAATAACAAGTCTGGAGGAAGTCTCTCAAATTCCAGTCTGGGACAGCATCAAGATAGGATTTTAATGCTGCATTTTACAAATCATGTAAATTGTTAAGATGAAGATGCTCTTCACCTAAGTCTCCCTTTTTAAAGTCTCCCTTTTTAAAATTTCAGAGAAAAATTTTACATGAAAAATCAATAATTTAACACGAACGCGTAGACATTTGGCAAACCTGGAAGGGAAAGCAGTTTATCAACATAGCATAAGATTACATTTAAATGTTGCTATGGTGAATTAGAGTGAAAAGTAAAAGCGTCAACAGCATCATGTACCCATATTGGATTATAAGAAAATATAGTAAAACTTGGGGGTGGCACGTTATCAATAGTTCTCAGCTTTTTAATCTAAATGTTTCTCAGGTTAAAAAGCCTCATCAAAAGTAACCTTCCCTACAGTTTCCAATTTGACGAAGGACCTTTCCCATGCAAAAAACATGTGTGCTTGAAAAATTCCCAACCATATTTTGTAATTAAGAGTGTTAATCAGTTCTGTCCCTTAGCTTTTGTATTTGGCAGTTCATATAATGGTCTGGGAGGATCCAGATAACATTTAAGGCTAAACTGAGTCAGCCTGGAAAAGATTATATATATATAATTGCAGTATGGTATGGGAAGTGCCATATATTATAACATGCTCAGCATTAGCCTCATTCTGAAGTCAGCTACCACCACCCTGCTATGAGTAACTCAGTGAGGTCTCTCTTCACACAGCACCTTACATCACGAAGGCTTTAAGACACAGCTCTTTTCCAGCCTTTGTGCTTTCACAGCCCGGACACCATCATCCCACCCCACTGCCAGCCCTTAACCCCCAGTGTGATGAAAATATTAAAGAACACAGTTTCTTGTTTCAGCTCTCTGCTGAAACTCCCATGCTGGTGTTTTTTTGCCACTAAACCTCTTGCCTTAATCCTGAACATCCCAGACAATACCGGTGAGTGAGGAGGCACCAGAGCTCACCAGCTGGGTGTATAACAGGCTGGTTTATCCAGCTGCATCTAGTTCTTAGATTCAAATTACTTTCTCCAATAAGTTCCTCCAACTGAATCTCATAAGTGCAGACTTTAGGGCCACCCAACAGAAAGAATGAAGTGCTGTCATGACGCTTCCTGTCCAACCAGTGAGAAGGTTAAGAGGATGCCTCTGCTTAGCAAGGATTTAGTGCAGAAGGCTGCTCCTGGGACTGCCTGGTGAAATGCCAATGTGCCAGGACACAGAGGGCACACATTCCTAATTCTCAGGGTCCAGCACCCTGTGGGATGAGGCACACTAAAATAAAAACACCGTTGGGACAGCAATTTCAGCTCCTCTTTGACTCCATCACTTCTACAGGTTACCTTCTCCTCTTGACTAGAAAGAAACCCAGGTTCCCTCACCCCAGCCAGGAGCAAGGTTGCCTGGAGCTGTGTTGCAGGAAGGCGAGGGAATGTTCATGACTCCTGTGGGGGACTGGCAGCAGTTTCACATCACCAGAAAACTGGTCTGAGAAGGTCCCATGGGACTGGGATGCTGGCTGGGGACTGGCAGCTCCTTTCTACTGCCAGTGAAAGGAAACATTGTGCAGCAATATGCATGGTTGAGGAAAAAGTCCCTAACGCCAGCACAGTGTATGATCTCTCTGTCATTACGTTCTCTTTCCACTAACCACTTTTTGTAGCATTTAGTTGCCAGCCATGATTAAATCACACTTTCATCACCTGTTAAAACTCCCCTCTCTGGTCCTCATCATTCCCTTAATTTTTCTGCCTTTTCTACTACCCTCCGATCCTCTCTTTCCTTTTTCAGTTTCTTTTTTTAATTCCCTCTAAGGGTTTCTCTCCCCTTTCAGTTCATCACTGTGACCATCACACCAAAGAGCAGTTGGTCTCCACCACTCCGAAAAAGCCATGAACCATCTTCCCTGCTCAGAGGGAACGCCTAAGCACAACTTCTTCTTGTCTCTACTCCCTTCACTTGCTGCCTTTCAGGATCATGGTCTCCTTTACTTGCTAGACTAGTCTTACATTATCTCAGACTTGGCATAAATTTATGCAGGGATCAGTGGCAATCAGCAGGTACATAACAATTTGCTTTCAAGATTTTAAGTGGCAGGGGTGGCACTGATTTTTGCCCTGCTGACTTTCATGTTGAACCCATTAAAGTCTCCTGCTCTGTATATCTAGCAAGGCTTCCACATACCAGGGCTAGAGCTTTCCAGTCTAGTACCCAGAACTCTGCTGCAACTCATTGTGGCCAAATCAGTTGGCAAAAACTCCCCAGAAACACTTTTGGAGTCAGTTATGAGATGCGATAGAGTTGCAGGAAGATTGGGACACTTCTCCATTTCATGGTCCCTTAGCCACAGAGGACTCATGAGACATTTACTCCCCTGGGCATTCAGTTGTGTCACACAACAGAGGTGTTGGCTCTGGGCTGCTGTGGCCCTTGACATAATGAGAGTCCCCCGAAGGGACTGGCTTACCTTCCACCAGGCTGCTGTGCCGTGTGTGGTCCGAGGATGAGGTTGCAGTACACCTTGGCAAGGTGAATCCTGGCCACCGCTAACTCCGCCAACATATTGTCCATTTCTGTCATCTCTAGAAATATCATAGTCCTGTTTAAAACAAAAAAGGGGAAAAAATTTCAGGGAAGGTGCCCTGGGCAGAATAGATGCTAGAAAGAGTGGCTGTTCCTGAGAGGCAAACATGGCTTTAAGGCACATAAACCAGCACCACTAAGGGACCCTCCACGGCAAGGCTGGGCTCAGGCGCTGACAGCACAGCTTGGCCACATCAGTGGGGCCACAAGGCCTGGGGCTCCAGCCCAGATAGTCTCTCTCACCCCACACAACCTATAAGCTGTGTGCCCACAGCCCGTCAAGTTGCTTTGATCCTGTGTGGCTTATGAATCCTTTCTGCAGCCTTGCACAAAAGCCCAGGAGGTGCATTTAGATAACCCCGGGCTCAGGCTCTGTCACAGGGCAGCCTGGGGCGGTGGGTCTGGCTCACTCAGACACAGCACTTACTCCTCTTCAAAAAGCCATATGAAGCACTTTTGGGACTGTATCCAAACAGGAACAGCTGACACCACAAGCCTGTATTTTAAACCAATTCAGATCAAACACTAAGGAAATGCCAAACCAAAGGGCTTTCTATTTCCTCTGCTTCCCCTGTAATCCACCCGACTGTCTGCCGGTGCCTGGGAAGTTACCAGCCTTCCTTCGCACTCAGGAGAGTTGGTTTTATCTGTTCTATCCCTGATGGCCTCCAGCTGTAAAGCTTCCTACACAACCCACGTTTAATAAATTAGAACAATTACTCTGGGCTTCTCAAGGATAATTGCTAATAAAATTCAGCAGATTTTCCTTAAACGACATGAAAGGGTTGGAAGCAAAAACAGACAGAAACTAAAGGGGAAAGAAAATGCAGGACAGAAATAACAGCCCTTGTTCCATTCATGTCTCATCCGCCACTGCTGAGTTTTTGTTCTTAGAGTCACATATTTCAGAGGTGAATACTCCCAAGCCGTCTCCAGCAGGGGAATGCCTCATGCCCACTGCTTTGGAAAACTGGTCGGTTGGTTTTGAACCTAGTTACAAGATCTGTCTGAACCTAAAAAAAAGCCAGGAAGGCCTAAGGCTTGGTTTCACAAAAAAATCAGCATAGCATCAGCAAAAGACAAAGTCACAAGAAGTCAAAAAATGTCCAGATTCGTCCTGACTTTCTCTGATAGGAATCCCTTCCAAAACTTCAATGCCCAGAGGCAAGGACTTCTGGCACCATGATGGTCTTACATGTTCTCCTGAGGCGCTGTGGACACCAATAATTCTACATGACCTAGGTTCAAGATAGTTGAGGAGCTATTCAGACCACCAGATCTGGGTCCCTGGGGACAAAAGTAGACCCAACAGATGAGTTAGGCATCCCTCATAGGTAGCCCAAATGGCAGGAACCCTAAACCACACCAAGCAGAAGCAGGAATAACCAGTGGGGTTTTTTTCTGTGTTAGTAGGTCCTACACAAGGTCTACAAGAAGAGCAGCTCAAGGACTGCATGACCATTGGACTGACAACCACGTGTCTGTCATACAGAAACACGAGGCTGATAAAGGACTAGGTGGGTCACCAAGCCCTGTCTCCAAGTAATGTGTCTGTCAGTTTAACTGGGAGCAAATTATAGGTATCACTAATGAGAAACATGAATTGGTACCTGCACATATTGCCTCCAGTCTGACTCTACTTGTGGCATATAGCCAGCGCTACACAGGAAAGCAAAAAGGCCTCTGAAACTAAATTATATCTTGCAGGAAGGAGGAGTGAGTATTATTCTTGAGCAAGCCACTAGCAACAGCCCTGAGCATGGGATCCATGAGATAGGAAAAGGAATGGCTATGCAATCTTCCTTTGCACTCTCTCAAATCCATCAGCATATCACAAACCCAAGGAGTCTTATCACAAGTGTAATTTTATGTCATTATGATTCTATTATGCAGTTAAAAAATCCCTTTCACAAGCTCATGGAGCTCCACCTTCCGGGAAAAAAAAAAAAAAGAAAAAAAAGTCATTTTCTTGCCTACCCCCACTACTTCTTAGTGGAAGACTGTTCCAGAACTTTACTCCAGAGGAGGGAAAAGACAGTCCTTGCTACATTTGATCTGAAATAGAGCACATACCAAGTCTGGAATTAGACCAGATGGATAACAGAGGAAATTGGTGGTCTTGAACAGGGAAAAAAGATGCAGTATCAGAAAGCTTTTCACATCATGATTAACATCTCCCAGCTCCTCCAAGTCGTCTAAGATGTTGAAACAATTAAGGATGAACTTTAACGTTAAATAGGGACTAAAATTGCCCTTTGTCATTTTCTTTTCCTTACTTGTATTTACACTTCAGTAGATCAATACCCTGAATTCCTGTTTCTGCATGGTGTCTCTTTAAGCTTCTCTGATGCTAACATTGCATGCAGGTAATCCTGACAAGCAAGCCACTTCCCTTCAGGGGAGGTAATGAATCTAAATAAAACAGTATTGTAGAAGTGGAGAGTCAGTTTATGTTTCCCACTAAAAGATAGGACTCACTTTGGGAGCACTGCTTGGCAGAACACAATGCAAAGTCTCTCCTTGCAGGGTTGATCCAGTTCTTACAGCTGATACCCACTAACCAGGGTCCCCTTGATCCAGAAAATGTAACCCCATATTGCAGTAGGTCCAAACTCCTCTGTTTCAGTCTCTTTCTCTATTTGCCAGACTAGTAGATGATATGAGCCATCACACTGAGGTGTTGTGACCTGTAGAGTGGCCTCCTTGTCCTTTACCAGTCGGGAGTGAGGGATCATTTTGTAAATTGCAGCCCAGAGCACCTCAGCAGAATCTCTGACCTTTGTGTATTAAACTACACTGCTGGTTTTCTTAATATATGAATTATTCCTTGCACAATGAAAGAAACACCTGTCAACCTGTGGATGTAGAACAAATCAATTCCTTAAGGCCAGCAATCCTCCAACAGTCTTTTCTTCAATCCAGATAAATTAGCCCCTCTTTATATCAAGACTTCATGAATTGTGAAATAAGTAATCATTAAGTGTTTTAAGAAAATGGCCAATCAATTCTCAGAGACTATTACACACTCCAGAAAATCATTGAAGTTTCTTACAGTCATGGTTCGTAGCTCTTTAATGCTTTCTTCTAAGGCATACAACTCTCTAACACAGCAGCTCCTAAACTATTCCCCTGGCATCCCCACTTCCACTCTGCAAGGCAGCAAGTGTGGTCACACACCCTTACCTGGGAACTGCTTTCCTAGCATATATTCCTCATGTTGCAACATGTTTCTAGCACCTAAGAGTAATCTGAACCTGCTTTGCAAAGTATTTAGAAATGAAGTCTTAAAGCAATATGACCCACAGCACAAATTAACACCCAGCAGACTCAGTTGCAACTATTTGCTGCTCTGTATTGCAAGCAGAAATGACTGGTTCCTAATTAGTTATTACTGGGAAATGGCATTAAGGGATGGCAATCTGATCCAGCGCACTCACATAGATTTAACGTTGGTGGTAGTAGTAAGGATTTATTCAGATTGCAGCATTACCTTCAGGAGCCAAATTATTTGGTGACCCCATTGCAGCAGGACTAGATCCAGCCACCGTCTTGAAAGGGAGACTGTGGTAATGCCATGTCACATGAATAGCAGTGCACGCCGCTCAGGGTGAGGCTGAGGCAAAGCGGGGCTCAGCCACCCCCCCATCCTGCAAATCTGTCTCTCTACATATTTAGAGGAGCCTATGTCCTGGAGAGCACTCCATCCCTGGAGGCATTCCAGCTCGGGCTTGATGGGGCTCTGAGCAACCTGATCTAGTTGAAGGTGTCCCTGCTCACTGCAGGGGGGTCAGACCTTTAAAGGTCCCTTCCAGTTCAATACATTCTATGATTCTATGATGGGAAACGTAAACAGTGAGACCAAGGGGTTTTTCTCCTTAGTGTTCCATATACAGACTGAGCCAGTACAGCAAGCAGTCCTTGCTCATACACAGAATCCCACTGATTCTGGCACGAAAGACTTCCCTGTGATTTCAGATTTGCTGAAGCAACCTCAATGTACTTGTGCTCCTAACGTTTTGTACTCACGAAGCCAAGGTGCTGTATTTCTTTTCCAGGGCAATTTTTTCCAGGTAAAAAGATAGGTAGATGAGCAGGGCCATGAGGAACTCATCAAGCTTCTCATTCCTGAATGGAAGGTAGAAAGGTCACTGTGGTCTGCAGATTTTCAGAGATAGACAACTCCAGACCATTGTGAAAAAGAACAAAGTCTCTGCTCAGGGGCCTGTGTTATACCAAATATTTGCTATATGGCTGAGACCTATTCGTAGCAAGCACTCCACCCCACACTAAAACTTTGACAGCTTTTGGCAATTACTAACAGAGTCCAATAAACCCTCTGAAAGGTGGGTTGAACTGGATATTACCAGATATACCTCCAAGAAGCATATTTTTGGCACTGAACATGCTGGAAGAGTAGCATTCTCATTTGAAGGAAAAGGGGGACAGCTAAGACACCTGTGCCCTCCTGAAAGGACAGGCTGGCTAAGGCTCAACATGGTCTACAGACAAAGGCAACGCAGCCACTGTACATCCCTGGTGAGATATAACGCTTCGCCTGCTGCCTCCTTGCTTTCAGCCTATAGAGAAGTAACGCTGATAAGTGGCAGCAGCAAACAGTGAGCCCTGCAGCTCTGGGGGTAACAGCAGCAGCACAAGAAGGTGGCCCAGATTCCCAGCCGTGTCAGCACTCCTGGAGCACACAGTGCTGCAGATGCACTGGCTAATACGGAATTTAGCTTAGAGTAAAAGGGAAATCAACCTTCACGTATTTAGGCCCAAGTTCTTGGTTTCTTTTAAGTAATGAAGTGGAAATACTTCAAATAGGTGATGGGATGAATTTTTTGCACATGTCAAGGACAATGTGCATTTGGTATTGTTTCCTACTGAACCTCACAGAGCAGAGATTTAAAATCTCTGGTATTTCATATTCTACTTCTCATACACTCTAGTCTTTCTACTACCAGCTACACGCACATCATTTTTGAAACAAATGCTAAATGGCATACCTCATAACTGCTGCTAATGGGAACTTGTGAGCTGACTCATTTGCTTCTTCCAAAAGCAAAGCAGCATCTTGAAACAAACAGAGGAGAAAACCAGTTATTTCCTCAAAAAAATGCCAGTGTTAGCAGAAGAAGCTTTCTAACTTGTATGGGTGATGACTTAATGGTACGAAATACCAGCAATTACTCACATTTGACATCATCCAATGTCACATACTCATGTTGTACCCATTTGGAGAGCCTATGCAATCTTTCTTCTTTGTGAGCCAGCCTTTTTTCAGGGAGTCTTGCACTGCAGTCATCTTTGAAGATGCTAGTGGTTGAACAATACATAACATTTAAGGACAGAGTGTTAAGCCCAGTCTGAGAACATTAAGATTATCTGCCTGGTATGTACTCTCTTTGTTGTACTCAGTTTCAAAGGGACGGGCAGTGAAATGTGTTTTGGCAAGTATCCTGAACTAACTTTCAACTATTATAACCACAAAACAGGCTGGGGATGTTGAGAGAAATAGGACATTTCACCTCTAAGGTTGTGTCTGAAGTTGCTCTTTTAGTTGCAAATATAATAAATTGCGACTATATTATTTAGATCAAAGAGGGTTTAAGTAATGGATGAAAGCCAGCTATACCATATTGTGAATTTATAAAATTAATAATAATAACAATAATAATACTTTAATCTTTGAAGTGCGTTACACAGATGAATTAATTACCTTCACAATACTCTTTAGAGTAGATGAGAATTATTACCTTGTTCTGAGCAATCTGAAAAGAGCAACAAAGATGCTGAATGACTTTACCAAAGTAAAAAAGCATTCAACACCAGGCATGTCTGGCTGTGTTTCTACACTCAGACCACTCATCCACCCTGTTGAAATGACAGCTGGCTTCCTGCTTCACATGCTCTGTTCAGACACGATCCTCAGACAATGGATGAAAACATTTCCACCCAAACAATCTTGTTTCTTTTAGAGCTAGGCAAGTCAAATCAAAATACCTCTTTAATGTCTTGACACGCATTTCCTGAAAGTGAACATTTTTTCCATCCTTAAGGTTTTCCTCAGCTTCTGGATTGGAGCTGAAATATGAATATGAGCATTGCAGTAGCATGAGTTCAAATTATTAGCAGCAGTACAAAAGAGGTCAACATCCCATGATACAAAAGCATATCTCTTTTGGCCTCTGCCTGACACTGAGAAAACATCTGGGTTGTAACAAGGTCAGTGTGGAACACAGAAGCAAAGAGGGGCTTCCTTGGACACTTTTGCTCTGCCTCCTCCCACCATATGCACTGTGCCAGGTAAACCCTTCAAGCAGTGTCTGAAGCGGCTTTAGGAAGATTTTAAATGTCAAATGCTTGGTTCCAGAGCTTTTCTTTGGGATCGTGGAGGGCAGATCCAGGCAGATGTCACCAGGGAGCTCACCCCTTTCCCTGGAGAGCTACCAGGCAGAGTCAGCAGCATTTCCAAGCCCAGCGGAGAAGTTGGCCGGAGCTGCTGAGACGCAGACCATGAAAGGCGCCTGCAGTAGCCGTGTGACCAGGAGAGAGGTGACCAGCCTTGTTCCTCCATGACAAAGGCTTGGAAAATGCCCAGCAGGGCAGGAGGCAGCAGCAGGCACTGTGTGACTGACCCACTGCTCCACCTACACTCCCTGCTTGAGAAGAGAGCAGGGGGATGTAGTTTGGGTGTTGAGGTTTTCTGCCCCAATGGTTTAAATGGCCTGATAAAGTCTTAACCCACAACTGCCACAGACATTCAAAGCACAGTTACGTGCACTTACAATGTCCCCTGTGCTTTCCCTAAAGGTCTGCAGCCCTCTGGTGCTCACCATTGCACAGGGTCAAATACATACCACTGGCAACAGGCAACATTAGTCTGTGGACTTCCAGCTGTAGGCACCTGGGTGGGATTTGGCCGTCACACCCAGCACCACTGCTCCCGGCTGCGGTGTGCATTTCTGACACAGGGCAGGACTCACCACTCACTTTTAGCCATCCCTTTATAGTGGATGCAGCTTGAGAGCAGTATGGAGTAAACGCATATTTGTGATTTTCTCAGAACTGCCTCAGAGCAGCAGTTAGGGAGCTCCAGAAGGAAGAATTTGTCCTGCAGTTGATGTTCAGGTAAAACAATACTAAACTCTGATTTTACCTGACTTGGAACTGCTGTATCAGGGCATAAATCTGCGTAATTTGTAGCTAAACATCATTCTTTTACCTTGCAAATTCAAGTGTGTTGGTATCATCTTTCCAGTACCACACACCTGGAGTTAGTTTTATCGTCTGCAAGAAAACAGCATATGGAGCATGTCATAAATCTATGCTCAGGTTCTCATCCCAACAAAGTATTTATAATGCAAGTACCATGCATATGGGCTGCTTCCTATCTTTCTTTAGGCTGCTTTTCACCCAGATGTTGTAACTTATTGGAAAAGAAGTTCTCTAAGATCAAATGTTGCTAGCATAAGAAAGAAAAAAGTGTGTGTCCTTTTTATGTCTTTCAGGTTACGAACAAAAAAATGTAAGTTTGCTCAGAAATATCAGTTCTTCAGCTGCCAGTGAATCAGTAAAGACTGAGAAACCAAATGATGTCATGTATTAAATAGTTGCTTTTTTGAAGGCAAATTACTTTTTTGGAAAAAAAAGAATATTTATGTAATTGTAGAGATTAAGTATCAGGAGAAATGAAACCTTTGTTTAAAAGAGGAATATGTTATGCACTTTCCTAATGTTCTGAGAACTTTAAATAAACATCTCATAGACCCTTCAGGGGACACTAGACAAAACTACCTGTAACAGCATTTTACAATATCTACATATTTTTTAAAAAAATCTATTTAAAAATTCCCCCAGAATAACTAAGATCTGTTAGTCTTTTCTTAATTAACAAGAGAGACTTGCAAACCCTCAACTATTATTTGCAGGTCACCTTTAAAGAAAAATTACGATTATTGCCGAAATCCTCCTGCCTACAGTTTGAAACCAAGTAAACCTTTGAGGCTTTCTCTGACTTTTTGCCAGCCAGCCACAATGCACTCACAAAGTCTTGCTCAATCTAATTTGGTAGCAGAGCGCTGGATACGGGACACCAGAATAATTCCACGTCAGCAGCCGTGCTCATGCACTGGTTAGACCACAGAGATTAATATTAGGAAACCATGCCTCTAATCCTTTGACAAAAAGTGGTTATTTCAACTTGTCTGTTCTAGTCTTCAGTTCCAGCTTTCTAATACTGGTTTACAGCTCTGAGATGAAAAGGGCCATGCAAATGCTGTGCCTTTATGTTACACATAAGGGATTATGAACCATGAAAGAAAAATAGAAAAGCTTGTAATATAGCACAGCTAAGCCTACCAGTGCATCACAGGAAGGAGAAATCACCACTCCTGTGTCTTCAAAATATATCTCAGCTGCTTCTCACTCACACAAATGGCCGGATGACTGTCCCCAGCTACTGTGCTCCCCGGCCAGGGCAGCGGGACAGATCCCTGCCCTGCCCACCCCAGCTCACCCCATGGGTCCTCCCATGGCCCCGGGATCTGCTGCGGGGCCAAACATGAAGGGCAGCAACAAGAGGGAGCTGGGAAAGGCGGAGAGACTCACTGAGAGCATGGTGCTCGCCTGGGACAATGCCAGCAGCGAAGGGGACAAGGCGGGCACTGTTTACGGCAGTATCCTGGCGACAGTCTGCTGTCCCCTAGGAACCACAGATCCCAGCTCTGCCGGCTCTCGGCCTGTGTGCTTTGCTAAGCAGCTTCCCTGAGTAACATTTTAGTCCAAACAGGGAAATTAAGCCCTTTACATGCAAGAACATCTGGTTTGGGCTTACTGTGATTTTGACAGTTGGGAGCTGCAGAGGCTTTCCTGATTACCAGCCCAGGGCTGGCAGTAGCTGGTCCCTCTGTTAAGAGCACTGATGTCTGTACAGCACTCTGGGTGTTAAACATACTTTAGCTTGAGACTTTATAAGATTTTAAAGTATATCTACCAGGTCAAAAGTCTGTGACACGGCCTAGGTACCTATATGAGCAATGAGCTTGAGGTTTGCAGGTTGCCCCTAGAAATAACTCCCATAACACTACAACAGGTCGCTTAAGGGAAGGAATTTGAGGGAGGGGTTTTGATCTTCAGGTTATTGTGAAGCATTTGTTTTTGTAAGCAGAGAATCTCTCATATTAGTCATTCACAGTGGATCAGTGCTGTGTACAACTGCCACTGCTTAGATCACACCCAAAATTGATATGTTATACTGACAAAAGCATTTTTTGCCAATGGAAGTCAAGTCCCCATGAAGGGCGAGGTTTCACGTTACAGCTAAGCCAGTCTAATAGCTGGTTGTTGATGGAAGAAGCATTCTTGCTCCCATCAAACTTTTCCCATCATTTATCTTTGTGTTGATTCTTTACCTGCTCTGTCCCCACACCAAGGCATCTCTCTAAACTGTCAAAAATAGTAATCCAGAAAAAATAGAGAAGATTTCTGTTGAGTTAGCGTTTCACATCAGTATGAGTCAGTATGAGTCAGTGAGGGGCCAGTGGAGATGCAGATAAAGATGAGGGTACAGGAGAACGACCACACCTCTCAATAGATCAGGTCACTTATAAGGTGAAAATCAGCCACACTCCAGGAGAATTTTGCTGGTACAGCTGCACTAAGCCAGTATGTGCTTTGCAGAGATGAAAATATCTGACGTAAGACTTCTACACAGGTCAGTTGAATGAACATTTCCTCTGCTTTCAGCTCTTAAAGATGGCATAATTCATTTTTGCAACAGTTTCTAACAAGGGAAAATACTCTTGAAAGCAATACTGAGATGTTCATGACCATATGGAAGAACAAATGGATAATACAATGTGGGGAAAGAAAATTTCCATAAAATAACCAGCCCCTAACTTAATCCATTCCCACAGACTTCCCACTGCATCTTTACACCTGTACGTACTCTTAAAAGTTTATCCACGCAAACACAATCAGCCCATGGATAGCCAAGCAAGAAGTTCAAATGAGCCTGAAAATTCAACTCTGGCTCTGTTCTCTACAGCCATCTTTCTTCTTTTTTTTTCCTTTTTTTTTTTGACAATCATATTGTGTATGTTGTGTTTCCAGTTGCTATTGCAGGCTGCCAAGTACATATCCATGCCTTGGCAGCCAAGTTGCATATTTAGGAGGATGAGAGAAGCAGGTTTGGAAACGACCTCAGATCTCATCCATGGCAGCCAGGCAGCACTATAGAAATAGGCTCACCACTAGGGCAAGGGGGAGCTATGGCCTCAGTAAACCATGAGCCCACCTTGATTCCAGTAAAAGCCACGCCCAAAAAACTGGATAAAGGACATTGCAGATATTCGGGGCTATCTGTGTGAGCATTTGCGGAGCTGGAGGCAGGAGCAACAAGCCTTCGGCTGTACTAGAGTTGGGAGAAAACCAGCACAAAAAGCCGAGATCAAAGATGGGGAGAAACTAAGACTGAGAACTACCTGCAGGGAAAACAACTGTGAATGTGAAGACTGAGACTTAGAGCTGAAGACAGAGCAGCACAGGCAGGCAGGAAATGTCTGGAAGTCAGTGCAGCAGACAGGTGAACTAGAGGAAAATGAAAACAAATCCAGAAGAGTTTTGTGGGGAGTGGGACAGAATTGGCTGTAGCCCAGCACAAGGGGCCAGGACGGACACCAGTGTTAGGGGGAACCCCGAGACTGACTGACTTACCAGAGCAGGAGACTTGGGATATGCAGATACTCAGCTCTCTACTACCCTTAACCAAGTGCTTGCTGATGGACATCAGTTCAGCCCAAGTATTTAATGAGCTAAGGGTGAACACAAACATCCCACCTGTGCTGATGGTCCAAACAGGTATCAGTCTGGGAAAAAAATTTAGAAGCCTAGCATCATGTAGCAAGGGAGATTAGTGTTTGTTAGATCCCTGCTTAAGCTGTTGCTGGAGTTGGAAGCTATAAAATGACTGAGCCAGAAGATTACAAGAAGTGAAATTAAGGTGTACTGGTTGAAGCAGTTGAAGGCTACGTGGGAAACTGATTTTCATATGGGCTTCAGTCACAAAATGCCAGGCAAATCACTCCAACCCGCATTCAGCACTAATGACCATTATTTGCATGCTCTTTTCTTTCTGAGCAAATGGCCTGGCTTCATGGAAGCCTGAGGTGCAAGACTCAGTACCCACAGCTGTGACTGAAGCAGGAACTCTGCCTTGAACAGTCCAGAAGTGTTTAACACCAAGCTGCCCAAAAAAACAGCTCCTTGGCTTTCCCAGTGGAAGACTCCAAAATAGACAGATGGTGTTCAGCTTTTGCTGATCTGTTTTATCACTTTCTTTCTGTGGGAATTATACACATCCCAGGGGTGAAAACTAAATGGATAATGTTGTGAAGCACTCGAGATGTGATGGTGATGAGCTCCACAGGCAACATCCTAAGAGATAATTCTTCTCCAGAGCTGGGGCTAGACAGCACACAGTAAATAAGCTCTATATTGAACTGGATAATACTACCTTCTTAGAGCATATGCTGCACCTGCAGCAGGTGCCCTACAGAAGAAGAAGAAAAAGAAAAAAATGTTACTGTGCAATTAAAAACTGAGTTATGAGGCATAAACACAAAGAAAGTAAGAAACAGAGTTGCTCTCATTGTCATATTTCTGAACTGACCTTGCAGCCTTAATAGGCTTCTTTTAATGTTGTCTCTTGTGGTTTTTGTGTGTCCGTGTGCATCCCAGTAGCTAGGAACACTCAACAATATGTACATATAGCCATTCTTTAGGTACATCTAATGTTTAGTTTGGGTATGACACCCAGAAAACAAACACATGCATAAACTCAACAAAAATATCACTGACTCACCATCCAGTCATCCACCTCTTTTCTGCCTCCTTTCTTCTTGCTGTGTCAAGTCGCTGTCTTCCATACCCACCGTATTAATTTCCTCCAGTTTTCCCAGGGGCAGTTAAATGTCAGCCCTGGTTTCTCTGGGAAGACTAGGCTCTGTGTGTGCACACTACTGTTCGTATTAGACACACAAGTACAGAATTCAGTTTCACAGTAGCTAATACTTAGTCCATGACTACGCCATTTACCTGCCAACTACTTGTGCCTGCTCATTAAAATCAGGATCATGCTATATGAATGGAATAAATAATATCCTTAGGCACAATACTGTGAACACTAGTGTGGTTTTTCACTTCAGATTTGTGCAAAACCGAAGCTCCTAATTCCTTGGTTTTGGCAATTTGCGCTGTTTTCACATATCAACGCTGCTGCATTTCAGTTTCGCTCCTTAGATCACCTGCAAACTTCTGGAG